GTCTCAAAATAAAATATAAAAAAGTGCTGGGGATGTGGCTCAGTGGTTAAGTGCCCCTGAGTTCAATCCCTGATACAAAAAAAAAAGAAAAGAAAAGAAAGAAAGAAAAAAAAGATTTGGTTGCTTACAATGTATGTCCTTGAACAAAAACCTAACCTCTCTGTTCCTTAGTTTCCTCCCTATAAAATGTATTTAAACAGATAAGTCATCTCAGAAGGTTGTGTTGTAGACTAATTGAGACTCAATTAACTTTTCTATTTAACATTTTAACATAAGACTGGAAGTCTGCAAATTCTATAAGAAAAATAAACGGATGTGAAGATTGGAGGGTGGGTGGTAAAACTGCCTTTTAGACCATTTTTAAGAAAAACCTAGGGGCTGGGGATGTGGCTCAAGCGGTAGTGCGCTCGCCTGGCATGCGTGCGACCCAGGTTCGATCCTCAGCACCACATACCAACAAAGATGTTGTGTCCGCCAAAAACTAAAAAATAAATATTAAAAATTCTCTCTCTCTCCTCTCTCCCTCTCTCTTTAAAAAAAAAAAAAAGAAAAAGAAAAACCTGAAAATCTACAAAGTATCTGAGGATGAGAATTTGCCCAGGTTGCCTTTAGAGGATTAGTCGACTTTACTCAAAATCATTAATCAGCTAAAAAGTATAAGGAGTCAGGAAACTAGAAAAGCGCCGTTTGCTTGTACAACGGTGACTCCGATTTTGATCTTGACCCTGAGCCTCCTCTCGCCTACTTGACATTACCCCTGGGTTGCCTCCAAGATTCCTCCAACCCTGTGGTGCTCAGCGAAAGTTCTCAAGCTTCTTCCCAAGACTGCTGTGCTGGCGCAAGTGGCTGCCAGTCCACCAGGACCCCCAAGCCCAAGCCCCTTCCTGATGCCTGTCACCTTGTCCTTTCCGCTCCATCCTTGCTCTCCCTGCAATCCACTCTGCCACAACCTCAAGGCTCTGCATGGTCTGTCTGTCCCCGAATTGTGAAGCCTCATTTGTCACTACTGTCACCCTTGCTTCCTCTGCTCCTTCTTCAAACTCACTGAAGGATTTCCTACCCCAGGGCTTTTGCACATGTGGCTTCTCCTGCCTTGGAAGCTCTCCAGCAGATTTCCAGTTACCTGTAGAGTCTCCTCCTAACTCCTCCTTTGACAAAGGAGCCCCCTCTGGCCCCCCACCCCTGTTCAAACAGCACCCCCACGCTCTTGTCCTTGTGATACCAGGTTCGTGTGATGATTTTTTTAGAGATTCCTAAACTTTTTGATCACAGCTGCCTTATGTTTTTTTTCTCTTTTTGGTGTGTGTGTGTGTGGGTAAACCCGGGGTGCTCAACTCCTGAGCCACATCCCTGCCCTATTATTTTTTTGAGACAGGGTCTCCCTAAGTTGCTGAGGCTGGCTTTGAACTTTCCATCCTCCTGCCTCAGCCTCCTGAGCTGCTGGGATTACAGGTGTGGGCCACTGTGCCTGGCCTCCCAATGTTCTTACCAAAGGACCCCAAAGAGTTTTTGTTGATGTAGGTGGTAGCTATCAGTATTTATTGCATTTAGAAAATAAAACTAAGCAATTTAAGGAATATGTATTGATTAGCTTAAAAATAAACTCTCCTGTAGTGTGACATATTTTAATGAAAAAATTACCATCTTTTCAAAAATTAGTGAGAAAGTTGTTGTCTGCATACATACACATATGTATTATATATGCAAATACGTGTTTATATCTATATGTTTACATGCTTTTAGTTTTCATACTGGGGATTGAATCCAGGGGTGCTCTACCACTGAGCTGCATTCCTGGCCCTTTTTAACTTGTTTTTCTTTTCTTTCTTTTTTCTTTTTAGTACTGGGAATTGAACCCAGGGAGTCTTAACCACTGAGCCATACCCCCAGCCCTTTTTTATATTTTATTTAGAGACAGGGTCTCACTGAGTTGCTTAGCGCCTGGCTGTTGCTGAGGCTGGCTTTGAACTTTCCATCCTCCTGCCTCAGCCTCCTGAGCCACTGGGATTACAGGCCTGCGCCACCACACTGGGCTCTTTTTAATTATTTTTTTTATTTTGAGACAGGATCCTGTTTGCCCAGGCTGACCTTCAACTTGTGATCCTCCTGCCTCGGCCTTCAGAGTCACTGGGATTACAGGTGTGCACACTGCACCTGGCTCATGATAACAATGGTGACCTCGTAGGGGAAGGGCTCTTGTGCTGCACTTTGAGAATCACCCCACCCCACCCACTGAAGGCCTCTGGGGCTGGGTGACCTCAGCATAAGAGTCAGTCCTTTCTGCAGGCAGGGTACCTGGGACCCTCACTCAGTTTCTGAATCTTGGCTTCTTCTAACACTGGGAGTGTAAGGGACCGGCGAAATGTTGGAGGAAGAGACCACAAGAGACCGGCTTCATGCAATAAGCATAAGGGGATTTTTATTGAGGATCCTGATTCAGTGCGCTGAGGCTCCAGGCTCACTCAGGAAGATAGAGCAGCCCAGAGCCCAGAGCAGGGGTTGAACATGCTTAAGTACACTTTTTGGGAAGGGCGGGAGAATTTGCATACCTCAGAACAAATCATCACGAGGTGCAGGAAAATTGAACAACAACTCTCATACATGATTAGCACATTCATTGGCAGGAACAGGTCGGGAGGGGGTGATTGATCACTCCTAAGCCGGGTACACATTCAAACTGATTGGTTGGGGCCCTGTATGCTTACGTGACAAACTGCACAGGGCCCTAGGCTAAACGGCCAGTAGGGCCATGTCTTAACTATCTCAGGAATTTCAGGTTCTGGGTGTAGCAGAGGAACTTTACAATACCTGGTCTTTCACTTTTTAATTCAGGCTTTGCAGCTTAGAAACCCTTTCAGGAGGATGCGGAATGGAGGGGCACTCTAATGCACAATACACACCTGCTATTTGTCCTTCTGGAGAAGGCCACCTTCTTCCTTTTATTTTTTTTTTAAGAGAGAGAGAGAGGAGAGAGAATTTTTAAAATATTTCTTTTTTAGTTCTTGGCGGACACAACATCTTTGTTTGTATGTGGTGCTGAGGATCGAACCCAGGCCGTAAGCATGCCAGTATTTTATTTAGAGGCAGGGTCTCACTGAGTTGCTAAGCTCCCCAAGTTGCTAAGGCTGGCTTTGAACTCCCGATCCTCCTGTCTCGGCCTCCTAAATGGCTGGGATGACAGACGTGCATTCTTACTAATACTTTTTATGCATGTAGTTAATTCCTCCTGAGGCCTGTCCTGTGCTGTGCTAGGGACATGGTGATGACATGGTGGTCCTGGCTCAGCCCTCCTGGGGCTCCCAGGTGGATTTTTTAATTGTGAGGGACTGCTCCTGGTCCTCAAGGGTGTATGAGTTCTCAAAGGCTGAGAAGGTAGGGAAAGGCAGTTTAGGGAGTGGGAAGAGCATGCAGAGTCATGAGGAATAGAGGAGACACGCTCTGGAATGCTCAGGGTCCTCTACCTCCAAAGCGCCTCTATTCCGTTAGTGAGAAACAGGGGTGCATCTCTGGTTTAACTTCTTTCTTTCCCAACCACTCTTTTTTTTGTTTAAGACTTCCTCAATTCTGGGCTCTTTGGTGAAAGTCCCACCTCTGAGCCAACCTCACTGTCCCATGCTGCAGTCCTTCGGTTTCACCGCATATCCACCCACGTCCTATTCACTTAGGATGTCCCAGCAAAAAAAGGCGTCCAGGAGGGCACAGGGTCGGGTCCAGGCGCCTCCACTGTCCCCATCCGGGGGCCTCCGCTTGGGCCCGGGTGAGTCAGCCCCTGGCGGCTCCCGCGTCATACCGGCCGCTCGGC